ACACACACACACACACACACACACACACACACACACACACACACACACCGCAAGAGATGCCAGGGGGCTCCTGGGCCTTCTCCTTTGGCACCAACCATCGGGTGGCTCTTCCTGGGATGCCGGCAGTGTGGGAAAATGTGCCCTGGGGCAGGGGGAGTGGGATGGTGGTGGGGGGGTTTCCCTCTGGCTGAGAATACCCCCCCCCAAGGACTTTCCCTTCCCTTCCCGTAAGGCTGAGAGGATGAGGTGGGGGGAGGCAGGAGAGACCTGCCCATGGATGCCGCAGCTGGAGGTACCCCTGAGCCCCCCAAGGGGATCTGCTTGGAGACCAGTCTTCAGTTAATTTAACCTCCTTTAATAGGATCTGAGTTAATGGGCAGCCAGCGCGCTCCCCCCTCGTGGCCTGGGCTTTCCCAAGAGGTTAATGATCTGCTCCACAGACTTCCCTTTGCCTGCTGCCATTGCCTTGAGGGAGGCGTTCTGGCCCAGCCCCAGCCACTCTTTGAAGAAGGGGGAGATAAAGGTGGGTCACTGAATTGGCCTTGATCACTCCCCCCCCCCCCCAACCTCTAAAGCAGAGATCTGCAAACTTGGCAACTTTTAAGACTGCTGGACTTCAACTCCCAGGATTCTTCATTCAGCTTCGTTGGCTGGAAAATTCTGGGAGTTTGAAGTCCACAAGTCTTAAAAGTGGCCAAATTTGGGGACCCCTGCTCTAAAGGGTCCCCAAGGTTTGATCCCTTTACACGGGGGTCTGAAGGTGTCCCCCCCCGCTCCCCATTTCCTTTGGGCTGCACTGCTTGCATTTTTTTTTTCTCAGCCGGGGTGAATGGTTATCTCTAAAGAGCAAGGCTGTTCAAACTTGGCAAGTTTAAGACTTGTGGACTTCAACTCCCAGAATTCCTGAGCTAACATGACTGGAGGAGGAATTCTGGGAGTTTAACTCAAACAGTGTTAAAGCTGTCAAGTTTGAAGACCTCTGAATTCTGAATTTGAAGACCTCTGAATCTGTCTGTCTGTCTGTCTGTCTGTTTATTGTCTCTCCATCCATCCATCCATCCATCCATCCATCCATAATCTATCACAAGGGTCTTCAAACGTGACAGCTTTAAGACTTGTGGACTTCCACTCCCAGAATTCCTGAGCTAACGTGACTGGAAGAGGAATTCTGGGAGTGGAAGTCCACAAGTCTTAAAGCTGTCAAGTTTGAAGGCCCCTGCTATGGAGCTTCTCAGCCATCCAGGCCATGGTTGTCCCAGAGGTGCTTTTTCGAGGCAGCTGGATTTTCTTTTCTTTTTTTTCTTGGCTGATGTTTTGCACTTCTCATCCCAGAAGTTTCTTCCGCTCTCCTTCTCCTTCTCCTCCTCTTCTTCTTCAGAGCTGAAGAAGCTTCTGGGACGAGAAGTGAGACATCTTCTAAGAAAAAGAAAACCCAAGCTGCCTCTTGAGAAAGCACCTTTGGGGGCAGTTCTGTGACTATGAATCCGGCTTCACAGAGCATCCTCACTCCGCCTGCCCCCAATGCAGATGGAGGGAACTGTGCAATGGGGATGCAGGTCTTGCAGGGTTTTATCCTCAAGTTTCTTTCCTAAAGCGACACAGCCTGGAATCAGCGTTTCTCACAGCTTCTGGTCCCCCACAGCACCTTTCCCAGAGTGAGAGGTGGCTCAGGTCTGAGCACTTTTGCCCAGTGGTGGGATTCAAATATTTTACTGCTGGTTCTGAGGGTGTGGCTTGGTGGGCGTGGCTTGGCTTGGAAGGGGTAGCAGAGGAAGAATCCTGCAAAATCCCCATCCCCTCCCTACTCCAGGGCGATTACTGCAAAATCTCTCCTCCCCACTCCAATAACCTGCTTTCCAGCTCTGTTCTCCTGTGCAGGGCAACTAAAGAAGAGCCAGCCGATCAGCTCAATGGGAGGCAGAGAAGAGATGGGGTTGGTGGGGCCAGTCAGAGGTGGTATTCCAAACTAGTCAACATTTCCACTACCGGTTCTCCAGAACTGGTCAGAACCTGCTGAAGGCCACCTCTGCTTTTGCCTCCTCGTGGCTTTTCCCAGCTGAGATCCTCAAAGGATCCAGATCCAGAGCACAAAAGGGCCCCATTTCTCTTCCTCCACCCCACAGTTCTTTCTTCGCTTTGCCTTCTCTTTGCAGTCCACAAGGGAAGAGGCAGAGCACTTAACTGGAGAGATCTACGCCATAGGGCCAGCCTCCGCTTCCTCCAGAGCCTGCTGAGACTCTCCGGGCAGAAATCCATGTTCTTTGGTGAATTTTTTCTTAGCCTTTTTCACTTTGTTCCAACAACCTTTCTTTCCACACTTCCTAGCAGCACAAATCTGCACCCCTCTCCCCGTTTTGTTCTGCAACATAATTTACTATCTGGTGTGTGTGTGTGTGTGTGTGTGTGTGTGTGTGTGTGTGTGTACGTTTCCACATCCAATTTCCATTTTTTCAGTTTGCAGAGAGATTTCCAACCTAAATGAATCGAATAGTTATTTTGTTAAATTTCTATTGAGCCCTTCACCATATATATGTACCTACAAACAGAGGTTTGCTTAAACAGAGAATTTTCTAAACAGAAACCCGCTCTTTTCAATCAACCTGATCTCTCAGGGCCCACTAGCTCTTCTTCCTTCCTATCCATCCACTTAGGTCACTTTCCACAAAGTATTTTTCTTTTCACGTAATTTCTCCCCAACTCCTTCCAGCTGTTTCCTAAAATGCAAGTATCACCAATGTGCATGTTCCTATGTTACAGCGATTTTATTCATTCATATTTTTTAGACCTTCCCTTCAATTCCTCACCTGGATCAGCCCCTTCCCACTGCCGCCCCTCCCCCCCATCTATCATGCTGCTCCTCTTTATTATGCACCAAGACAAATTCCTTGTGCGTCTAATCTCACTTGGCCAATAAAGTATTCTATTCTATTCTATTCTATTCTATTCTATTCTATTCTATTCTATTCTATTCTATTCTATTCTATTCTACCCTACCCTACCCTACCCTACCCTACCCTACCCTACCCTACCCTATCTTATTCTATTGACTGTTTCCTAGTATAATTTGATTGCTTATTGTACCCTATGATAATCATTAAGTGTTGTACCTGATGATTCTTGACTCTTGACGAATGAATTTTTCCTTTTATGTACACTGAGAGCATCTGCACCAAAGACGAATTCCTTGTGTGTCCAATCTCACTTGGCCAATAAAGAATTCTATTTCTATTTCTATTTCTATTTCTATTTCTATTTCTATTTCTATTTCTATTTTTATTTCTATTTCTATTTCTATTCCATTCCATTCCATTCCACTCCACTCCACTCCACTCTTTCTATTCGTTCTACAGGCCAAAGGATTCTTCTTTCTTCCATCAGTTAATTCATGCTGTTTACTGATGACCCACCCAATCTTCTATAGTCAGTCATCATGGGATCAGCCAGAGATACTGGCCTCCATGCCCAGAGTGGCCCTGAGCCATGGAGGCTCTCCCATTATCTTCTGTAGGGAGTCAGAAAAGATGCAGGCCAGGTGATTTGTCTTAGCTGCAGCTGGGAGCACGCACATCGCACAAACTTTCCTGCTACAGGAGGGATAATGTCCCTCCTCTGGTCTTGAACCAGCAAGGCACAAGCAAGTTTTATCCCAAGAACACTGACATGCCTGAGGCAAGCTAAATTCTCTAGTTTACAGGTCTCCAACCTTGGCAACTTTAAGACTTTTCGACTCCCAAAATTCCTCAGCCAGCTAATTCTGGGAGTCCACAAGTCTTAAAAAGTTGCCAAGTTTGGGGACCCTAGTTTAAAGAGACTACCTTGCAAGCCAAGATACGCTGCTTGCATCATCCCAACTGGTCCCAAATGGGCTTGCTGGGCTTCCTTGGCTGTTAATCTACAAAGATACCCGACTGACCAACCCTGGGGCGCAGGGAGTAGGACTCATTGGTTTCTACAACATTCAAATCCTGCTCCATTTTATCGGGGCTTCATAGGAACTGCCGGAGAAGGCTAGGCCTGCCAGCCCTCCAAGGCTGCCTCCGTGGTGACATTTTGCCCAAGGACAACAAACCCAATGGGACAAACGAGGAGGCCAAGAGCTGCACCGTGGCCTCATCTTGGACAACAGCAGGCATGTCCTTCTCCATCTGTGTGGCCGGGAACCGGAGGCAGCAGTGAAACCTTGGCAAAACGTTTTGGGAGCCCACAGCAAGGCCTCCACTAATCTCCCGCTTCCCAGACACCTTGGGCGGGGGAAGGATTTTGTCTCTCTCTCCCTGGGTTACACTAATCCTGCAAAACAGACCGTGGAGTCTTGGGCACTGAAAGTCCCGTCACCTGACCCTAGTTTTGAGGAAACCATCATTCAGGCATATGAAACAGAGGTTTGGCTTGGTATTCAATTTTTTTTAAAGAAACGTGCTAACTCTGTAGAAGACCAGAATCTTGTGATAGATTAGACAGAATAGCTTTTTCACAATTATGGAAAGGAGCGAATATCCCCTCAGAAGATTTAGTTATACAAAAAGTGCTAGAAGGCGCTGAAATGGATAAGCTGACATTGGGAATGGAAAACGAAGAAGGCTCAGAATATTATGTAATGTGGGACAAATGGCATGAGTGGTTAAACAACATTTAAAGACAAGGATGAAGGATTATGGTAAACCAGTGGCTGAGGAACTCTGGGAGTTGAAGTCCACAAGTCTTAAAGTTGCCAAGGTTGGACACCCCTGTGGTAAACCAAGCAAGAGACCTTAATAGATGATTAA